AAGGTTTTAATCAACTCAGCACCAGTCACTGCTTTGTACATTTGACCGCCACCATTATTTGCCATTCTGATAAGTTTTTTCTCTTCTTCACTACCATTAGTAATGTCTTTACCGAAACCAATAGTATGACAAATAAAATTATGATTTCCTGTATATTTTGTTTTCAATTGAGTAATTATGTTTTCGGGATTTCCACTACCACAATCGGCACCATCCGACATAAAAATCATTACAATCGATGATTTTGTGTTATCGTTCTCGATTGCTTTCGTCGCTTCTTTCAAACCTTGTGCATAATCTGTACCACCGTTCTGAATATCAAGTGTACGAGGAGCATCAGCAACCTTTCGTTTTGAACAGATTGTACGTGCATCTGTGTTGAACTGAACAACAGTGACGACATCATCTCCACCTTGATCATCATTACGTCGTGACAAGAAACCGTTATACGCTTGTTGTAATTCGTTCCAATATGGATTCATTGAACCTGATTCATCAAGAACAAAAACAAAATGATATGATTGAGCTTCCTGTTGGTGAACATCAAATAATTCAATGTCCTTAAATGCTCTTTCAGCATCGCTTCCTTTGAGAGTATATTGATTTTTGAATGCATCCCTCATTTTAGCCGTTGCTTTTGGTTTAATAACACAAAACATAAGATCGATTTCGGCATCTTTTTTCAATAGACGATCGCATATACCGTTCAATGTGTGTTTACCATTTCCCTAAAATAGAAGAAAATGAAAAATTCATCAATTTAAAGTCGATATTGTTCGAGAATTCGCTCTCAGAGAAATCATCTAGTCGAGAAATCTTTTTGCATCATTCTTGAACATTCTTTTTCTTAATTGAATTCCATTCAACTATGGATTGCTGTTTTGTTAGTAAACTATGTTTTGTTGTATATCAAAACAAAAAAAAAAGATGAATGTTATAGATAGTAGTTTATGTGCATTTCTCTAGTGATAATTAAATAAAAATTTACTCGAATTGCTTACACTCTTATATTCATCATTTGCAAGATCATTATTAAGTTCTGGTCCATGACCAGGTGCATCAGTAATCAGTACAATAAATCGAGCATTTGTTTTACTCCAATTCAATGTTAAACATGTATCAAGTGCACCGAGTACATCTTCTGGAATATCACCACCTCCACTAGCCGTTATTCCATTTAAAAACTTCATTACATCTTCTGTTTTTTCTGTAAAATCTATTTTCGTAATCGGTGGCCTATCTTTTATATCACGATAAGCAACAATGGCAAAACGTAGTGCAAGTTTAAGTGATGGATATTTTACTTTGATATCATTTTGAATACTATTCATAATAGTGTGCATTTGACCTTTAACTGCTGCTAACCATCGTGACATGCTACCAGTACAATCAAGACAAAAACAAATATCAATTGTTATATTCGATGGCGGTTGACCACTATGCATTAACATTAATTCTCGCTCACTAGCCAATTCATTGATCATATCACTGAAAGCTTTCTTCGAAAATATATCTTCGAAAAGACTATCTTTAGATATAGTATCTTTCGTATCATCAGCAGTTTGTTTCTTTTCATTTTGTATTGGTACCCAATCGGACAAAACAATTTGTGCTTCTTGTTCAAATAGAGCTCGTAAAGCTTTTGATAATCCACGAACAGTAGCACATTGTAGATATCTTTTATAAATCAATTGAAGATTGGTTGGATCAATGCCAATAGCCATAGCTACTAAATCGATGCCATTGTTTTCGGCACGTTGTTGTACCATAGCAAGACGATTACCACAATTACTATAACCATCAGTAAGAATAAATATTTTCTTTTCACCTCGTACAGAACATTGACTAAGTAGATCAATAGCTGCTTCAATAGCATCTGCATCTTTAGTATCTTCATCTTGATCGAAACGAAGTTCACTTACAAGTGTATAAATAGTTGCTGCATCCCAAGCTTGTTCATTGGATTTAATCAAACGTACCTCATGACCAAATACAATGATACCGAATTGAGTTAAATCAAGTTTACGTAGAGCAGCTGTAAGAACTATAACTGCTTCTTTAAGACCAGTACTAAGTGTACCTAACATTGATGTTGATACATCAAGAACAAGACATACGGCATGATCACGTTTACCACCGGCTAATTTTGAACTAAATATTTTCTTGTATGTCCATTCACTAGTCATTGCTTTTATTAGACCAGGTAAATAAAGTGATGAACCACGTAGAGCTGCTCGACGACGTGTAAATTTATTGAAAGGTAATATAAGATCGCCGAGTACAGTCGATACATCTTCGACAACACCAGAAAGACGATATTCTTCGGAGATCCAAGTTTTTTCTACATCTTGCATAACCGATGATACTTTTAATGAATGATAATATTCACGAAGTTTATTTAATGCTTTCGATGAATAATCAGTATATTCAGTTGTAGATGATAAATAATTTGTTAATTGTGATTGAGTCTAAATAGAAACATAATAGATTTATTTAATTTGAATATTCAATCATACTTGATTTAAACGAGGAATTATTGCTGTTGAACTACTAATCATATATGATGTTGGATTGGCCGAATCGTATGTTAAATTTTGAATGATTGTATCGGATAAAGATGGCGTTTCAACTATACTAGGTATTTTAATATTGATTATTGGTAATGAATTTGTTAATGTCTGTTGATTATCATTATTAATTGAAGCTTTGACCATGTCATGCATTAATTGTGTTAATATTTTTGGTGATGCGTTAATATCATTTGCATGAACAATACGATGTTGAGCTTTTTTTAGACCACGTAATAATACTTGACTTGTACTTTGTCCAGCTGTTTCAATGAATAGAACACCTAAATTAATATCATATTTTTTAATTGTTTCTGAATAAGTAGTATCATCATTATCATGTGTTAAACCATCAGTAATCATTAAAACAAGACGATGAACAAATGGATTCGATGGTGTATTTTCATTTGGTAAACCAAATACACGTTTTGAAATATTATCAAGACCTGTAGCTGGATATGTACCTTCATCAAATGTTAATGCTTCAAGTACATATTGTCCATCTTGAATAGTAAAACGATCAAGCATATTTTTTAACATTTTCTGATTATTTCGTCCACCAAAACGTGCTACAGCAAATTTACTTTCAAGTTTACGATGTAATTCCATAAGTATAACAAGAATTTCATAAATTGAATTTCGATAAATACTCATCGAACCTGAATTATCAATCATAATACACCAATGAAATTCATGTTGTTCAGTTGTATTAATATTATTAATTAATGTTTCCCATTTTGAACGAAATTCTTTTATAATTAAATTTATCATTTGAGCTATAGGAGGTGTTTCAACAAGTAATTGATATGTCCATCGATCACGTTGAATGTTTGAAATAAGTCCAGCACGATTATCAAGTTTGCCATCAGGTGGAGTTCGTTTTCCTTTTATTTTAATTGATTCATATAACTCAAGTAGATTTGGTTGTTTTTTTAATTGTTCTTGCATAGCTTTCATTTGTAAATCAATATTAAATTCAATTGATGTATCAATATCATTCCATATATTTTGTTTTCCATCACTACTATGACTTGTTGTTGATACATTTACTTTAGTAAAACTTTGAGATGATGTTTCTTTAGCTAAATTTTCTATATTTGATAGAAGATTTTTTTTTGAATCACCGCCAGTTTTACGTTTATTAGATTTTGGTTTTGATTTCGATAATTCTAATATGTCTTTAGCTTGTTCAGAACTTTCATTTCGTGTTGTTGCTCGCCAATCTTCAAGAGTCAATGGTGTATCATCATTTTTCGTAGTTTGTGATTGATTTTCTGATGTTGATAATGGTGTTGAAAAATTTGATTCGGATATATCAAATCTTTTTCGTTTATTTACTTCACCTTTTCGTACAAGAGTTTTTGATGGTGGTGGAAAATCATTTATAATACAGCTAACATCAATATTTAATTGTCGTAAAGTTTCTCGTAATTGAGAATAATTTTCAAGTGATAATGAAAGAAAACATTTTTCTAATCGATTAAGATCTTTAATTAAAAATCGAACACCTGTTATCGAAAAAACAGGTTCAAGAATTTTTTTTATTATAACAAGATCACGTAATAATTGTAGACCATGTAGAACAATATTATGAGCAGTTTCATTTTGTTTTAAATTATTTGTATTCGATTGATTATGAACAAGAACATTAAACGTTGTAAAAATACCGTACCATTGAGTAACTTGTGAACAATAATCATGTGCTTTAATGATAATAGTATGAATTTTATCTGATTCGCTAAAACGAAACGATGAACACAATGGTGATTGAACATATTTTATTACGGAATCTTCCATTTTTTTTAATGTATCTGGCGAATATGAGGAAGTTTGATTCGGCTCTGTTGATGTTGTTGTGGATGTTGTTTCATCTGTTGTTGTTGGTATTGTTTTAGATGATGAAGAAGAAGAAAACATATTCTGATTTGTTACAATTGAAGAATTTGAAAGATTAAGTTGAATTTTGATAAGAGTTTGTCGAATAACTGTAAGAATCGATGGAATTGTGTTTGATTGAATACTAGATATATCGATACCCAATTTTTCACGTGTTCTTTGACGATAATTAGCTAAAGTACAAAGTGCTGATGTTAAACTTGTTGTATAGAGTGCTTGATTTAATGAACTTTGACGATAAACAACAAGACCATGAAATGATGTAAGAATAGATGAAATCGCTTTAAATAATCGTCTTAAATCGGCTCCTTTAATATTCAATAATATTATCCATGAATTAACGATATTATCAAGTGTTTGGTATTGATCTTCATGGCTAATTGTTATTATATTTGGTAGACGTGTAATAATTAAATATGCTT